TGGAGCGGGCTGTTTTGGTGCAACCGCCACCTCTCTTCCATCTTCTTTCTCCTTTTCTTTCTCCCGGGTAGCCGGTTCAACTTCAACTTCATCGGGGTTCTTCTTTGTGGCAGCAAGTTCAAGTTCTCTTCCACTCCTCAAGGTGAGTGCCTGAACATGTTCTCGCAAATTATTCTCGGTATTGCTAGGGAGGGATCCCTTAGGCCTCTCAGAAACGGCCTGTGCGAGCTGACCCATTTGATTTTGCATGTTCTGAAAGCTTGCATTAATCGTGGTCATGAATGTCTTGGTCGTGATCACTAATTCCTTGAGTGCATTTTTAAGCTAGAAAGCCTTTGATCAGTCTCCTTCTTGAAACTCCCTTGCACCTGCTGAGGTGCTTGTTGTTGGGTCTGAGTTGCCTGAGGCTGATTGTAAATCCTGGACTGTTGCTGCTGCTATTGATTTCCCTGTCCATAATTCTCGGGATGCTGCTGGCCGTAGGGTTGATTGTAGTAGCCCTGCCTCTGAAAATACATCGCATCCGATCCACTTGCTCCACTCCAGAGGCTGTTGAGTGTGCCATCATAGTGCATTCATGCGGCCAATGGAGACCCCCACACATATTACAGGACGGACTAGGTCCAAGGGCTACCATATTCACACTAGGCACCGAGTGAGCAAGATCTACCTTCTTTCGCAGAACATCCATGCTAGTGGTGAGCTTCTGCATCATACTTGCCAGATTATCCACCCGTGCAAAAAGGACAGAATTATCACTGATCTTGTAAAGTCCCGGAGCCTTCTGCTGAGGTGTATCTCGTGAGCTGTACCAGGATGCATTATTTGCAACAATCTTCTCCACAAGTGCTTCTCCATCCTCAGCTGGTAATTGAGGAAAATCTACATTCCCAGAGGCATCAAGCATCATCTTACCTTCATTGTTGATCCCACAATAGAAGAATGACAGATCTCACGGTTACTCATCTTGCCTTGAGGGCAAGTTCTTCTCAGCACCTTGAACCTCTTCCACGCTTCAGCCAATGTCTCCAAAGATCCCTGCTTGAACTCTTGCAACTGCTTCTTCAACTTTAGTGCCTTGGATGTAGGAAAATACTCTTTGATGAAGGCACTATGCAGCTGGTCCCAAGTCTGGAGGTGGTGATGAGGATTGTTGTCCAACCACCTCTGCGCATCATCCCTTAGTGAGAAAGGGAAAAACATCATCCGCACCTGATCATCAGCTACTCCAGGTATCTTGAAAGGTTGGCACATCCTCAGAAGTTGGGTAATATGCGCCACTGGATCTTCGATAGGGCCTCCTCCAAACTGATTATTAGACACCATACTAATCACCTCTGGCTTGGTCTCGTATCGGTTTGCAGTAATTCCGGGCACCTGAATGCTGCCATATTTTGAAATCTTCGGAGTAAGGAACTCTGTAATGGTCTGTCCCTGGTTGAGTGGATTGTCATATGAGACATAGTCGTTAAATGGAGGGGGCGACTATCTATTCTGGAAAGCTGGTCTTTGTTGAGCCGGTTGCGGTTGAACAAATTGTGGTTGAGGCTATACTTGGGGCTGCTGGCGGTACTGGTTCTGATTCTGGAAATGATTTTGAAAAGGCTGATTTTGGAATGGATTTTGGGTGACAGGGGTTGAATTTTGTCTTGGTTGAAACACCGGAATATTGGGCCCTATGCCTTGCATCCCATAAGTTTGGTTTTGAAAAGCGGTTTCAGGTGCAGTAGAGGCATTTTGAAAGAGCTGGAATAATGGGGGAAGATTGATTTGTGGAGTGGATTGATTTTAGGAGAAAAGTGGTGGAGTGCGGAAATTTTGAAAGCCAGGAGGGCGTCTAGGTGAAATAGGTGGTGAAGACAGAGGTGAGGTATTGATATAGAAGTCAAGATTACCAGAAGTGGATGATCCATAGTTGCGTTCTTTTCTCTTAGAGCCTTGCGGTTCTGTCAAGAATACCATGAGTTCTATTATGAACAAAAGTTAAAACTACTCTCAATTCTGCCCTATATAAGTCATTGTCGTGCATAATAATTAGATGACTTGATATGTAATTTCATGTTTATGTGATGTGAGTTTTCTCGCACTTAAAAAAGATAGTAGTATAGGGTGTAACTACGAGTATCGTCTCCACAGGAACGGAAAATGGGAATCAAGAATTAATTAAATTCTATGATTAAACTAAGTAAAATAAAAGCGATTGTGCGAGATTGGTGGTTTCGAAAATTAAATTGCAACTAAACGATTAAAATAAATTGGTTTCTCTCTAATTAACGACGAAGGTAACATGGATTGATTCCGGGGTAACCAGATTTCTGGCAGATCAGGCTTAATTACATGAAATTAATTTAATTGAGCCAAACTAATCATTACTAAGTTCTTACTGCTCTCGTGGCGTAAAGTACAATAATTTAGGGGTCCAGGCTGATCTCTCTGCGACTAATTCTAAATTATTGCCAAAACGAGCAGGCTTACGGCCCCTTAATCACTACTAATCTCTTAGGCCTTAGAGAACAATTAAATGTGTGTGAAAGTGTCTTAGAATAAACTAGATCCTCTTAATTTAATTTACAAGCAATTGTAATTCTAGTTGCGATTCTAGATTACAAGAGATATCAATTAAATTATTCAAACACAAATTAAACGGCATTCATGCAATTAATCCATCAAGAAACTAGTCATATATCATGATTAACCCCTTCATCAATCCCAAATTCCTAATGAAACTACTCACAACTCATAATTAATAAATCAACAGAATTGGGATGAATATAAATAATTGTCATTAATTAAAAAGATTGAACTTACAAATAATCCTAGGGTCTTAAAGAACACTGCGTAAAAACAACGTAAAACTCGTCCATAGGCCTCTCTATGAAGTTCGTAACCCTGAAATAGGAGTATGGAGACCTTATTTATAGAAAACAGATGAATTCGAACTGAATTAGAAATTCTGGGGTCAGGCATGGCGCCAGGAACAACCGTGCCTGCGGAACACTCCCGTTTCTCGCTTCCAGGCACGGCGTGCCTCCCTGCCAGGCACGACCGTGCCTGGGTTCCAGTAGCCAAGAGGCGCTCTCTTCTTCAAGCACGGTGTGCCTGAAGCTGGGCATGACCGTGCCTGGCTAATTCTTCGTCGACTATCATCTCTAGGCACGCACGGCGTGCCTGAATGCTGGGCACGGCCGTGCAATCCGTGCATGGCCTTTCTTCGTCAGTTTCTTCGTTTTCTTGCTCCGAATGCTCCCGGATACTTCCGTGATCGATCCAAAGGCCTCTCCTTCATCAAAACTTCGTCGTGAACCTCCCGGAGACCTCCAAAACTCTCAAATCTCTCTCGAATGTTCTTCAATTTTTCTTGAATGCTTCTCAAGCGCTGGTGCCGGACTCTAGTTTCCTGATTTTGACTCCAAACAATACAAAACTCGAACCAACGCCTGGTAAACATAACTTGAGCTAAAATTGAGACTTATAACACCTTAAAGCTAGGAAAACCGTCAAAGGCCGATCCCAAAACGCATCAATTGCGTGTTGTAAAACGAACTTCTCATTATGCCTTATCTGCGTACCTTGACGATTATGATATGCTTTAATTCAAATATCTTTCCATAATAGGATTGGTCACCCAATTGAATTAGTTGCGGAAATTGCCCTAAATAGGACTACTGAGTTCCTAAAAAGCACAAATAGGACTACTATTTGTGCTTTTTTAAAATGTTGGCATATTTTTCTCCAGTGATGGGAGCTGGTGGTGCTGGGGGTGGCAGGGGTGGTAATGTTTTTTTTTTTACGATTTTTTTTATTTTATTTTTTGATTTTTTAAAAAATATTTTATTAAATTTCTATTATTTTTTTACGATTTTTAGTATTTTTTTCAATTTTTTTTTTATGATTTTATTATTAATTAAAACATTTCAAAAGCTACAAGGGTATATTTGTCCAAAAACACATAAATAGTCCTATTAAGGGAATTTTAAAAATGTAGTCCTATTTGTGCAATTTTGCCACTTTTTAGTCCTATTTAGGGAATTGACTCAATTAGTTAACATATATAGCTTATGGAAAGTATCTTTGCATGAGTAAATATCTTGCTACATTTATAATAATTGACCGAAGCACATTTGATCTTGCTAAGTGAATAAAGAGCATCTATAATGCTACAATGTGCACGGTGCACATGTGGCATGAGAGAGATAGACACAAAAAATTGAATTTATGACATTTCTCTCTCATTCTTTGCACGGTTTTATCTGTTTTTGGTAAGTTTTCCTCTGCAATGTCAAACACAATGTCTACATCTAGACATTGTGAAGAAAAACTTACCAAAATGATACACGATCCTTCAAATAAGGAGAGAGATATTCTATTTATTATTTTTTAATTGGTTTTCTCTCATGCCACGTATGCACCGTTAACGTTTTAGCATTGGAGATGCTCTTTAATTGGGCACACGATATTGAAGAGCTCTTTCCACTTAAAATAATAAATGAATCTTTTTAGTATCTTGACTTGCTAAAATAAATGATCACATGGCATGACTTGATTGACCGAAGCATTTATGAAATGAATATCTTATTGTCATGGAGCGTGGCTTACTATCTATATATTACTTCCTTTTATATGATGATACGATGCCTTGCTTGTGAAAAGTGAATTGATTGACTCATGTATTGAGCTCGAGTACGAAGGAATCATATAGAAGGAAAATGTGTCAAAAATATTAAGGCAAGTTCCTCCATTAACTACTCGACCATCTAAGGAAAGGAAGGATCAACGAATATATATCTTCCAGCAGGCTATTTATTCGTGAATCAAGAAGAAGAGAGGGGTGCTTGACCAAGTCATTATTGAGAGCTTTGTTGTAAAGCTGAGAGACTCTCTACCCGCAAGGTAGAGAAGAGAAGCATAACTCTTCCTAGAGAGGATAGAGTTGAGGTGACTCAATGGTAGACTAGGAAAGTTTATCTTGTAAGGTTAACTCTAGAACTGCATGAAAATGACCACATTTCACCATACACAACTCGCTCTTATCTTGTGTTTTTCAACTGAGTCATCGCACATATAGGTGAAAATCCCTGGCTATATTATAGTCGTGTTATATTACTACGTATATGATATGATACTCTATGATATTATTTCTTTCTAAATTACCAAACAAATAACGTACGTAAGAATAAAAAAAATAGAAGGGAGATTGAAGCAGGAGAGATGGTGCGTGCGTGCATGCATGCAAGTATCATGTCTGCTACTCATCAAGTACACATTGGAAAATAGACGATTCAAACGTGTTTAGGTCGCCAAAAATGATGTCGTGTTCCTCGGCGAAGCCGCTCAATTCGTGGCAGTCAAAATATGTTTGTATGTCGTCCGGGAAGCTCCGCCTTTGTGGTGGTGGCGTTGTCGGACAATTCTGATCAGGCGGCGGGGGAGAAGCAGTCTCCGGGGAGCTTTGTTGGTGGAGGAAGCCGATCAACCCTACTTTTTGGCTGGTCAGCGGCCCATCGTCTTGACTTACGCCGTCACTGCGAGGGTGGGAGTTTTGGTCCGGGGGTAGGCAGTTGATGTAACGGCTGAGGTCAAAGTTGGTCACAGCGTTAAGCCCGCGGTACTCTATGGCTGCCATGTCATAAGCCGTCGCTGCTTCCTCTTGAGTAGCTGTATGCAATTCAATGCCACGTCATACATTTCAATTGCTATACAAAAAAAGGATGACACCCCATCCCTGAGGGCCCCCCACCACCGACCGGACGGCACGATGGGAGGATGTAAATTGGACTATAATCACAATCTGACAGATAGAGAGTGGGGCTCTGTCCCCGGTACTTGCAGAGGCCCTATGCATTTTTCAACATAGTAACCTCTCATCACAGTTGCCGGGATTCGAACCCGAGACCTAACCCTTGTGGCACTCCCTTGCTACCAGTTGAGCTACGCCCACCGGTTCATTTGTTATACAAGTAATAATTCTTGGTAGATTCTATGGTACCCATAAGGTACCGTACCTTTGTCCACATGGACCAATCAGAATCATGCAGTTGAATTATTTAAATCTAAATTAAAAGAAATTTAATGATTTGGACCAATCAAATGTATGGTAGGTACGGTACCCCATTTTTTAAATGGGTACCGGAGTTGTCACCATAATTCTTTACTTAATTAATTTATCAGGAAATTACGTATGCACGCACTATCTCTTACCCCGCCACAGAGTCATCAAATTAAACTTTTTCGGGTGCAACACTTTTAACGTTTTTATGCAATTGTACATTTCATCGCATAATATTATGTATGTAATAGTGTAAAGATGCATCGTACAAAGTTTTGTACAATAAATACAGTTTGTACCAAATCTAATCTGCTCCTATATATAAATACTACATCCGTCCCTTTATTTTATTTAGCCATCTTTGATTTTTCCGGTCAAAAGTGATAAACTTTGATCCATTATTTTAACTAATATATTTATGAGAAAATTTAATAAATTTATACTTTTATAATTGTATTTTTAACAAAGAACATTTAAATTTAATTTTCATATTATCAATATTACCGTGTATAAATATATAAACGGTCAAAGTCAGATAACTTTGATTTGAAAAATAGTGTTTGGCTAAATAAAAAGGGATGGGGGAGTATTTAATTTGGGAAAACTAAGACATCTAGTAAAATGCACATTCAATTCCAGATTCAATATAATTTGAATGACAAATTCGCTTGGTGTTAAAAATTTATGAGGTGAGTGGCTTAATTAACAAATCTTAAACACTTAAATTTTGAAAAACGTTCAAATCAATATTTATCACATAATCGACCCGTTACAGCAAAATTTGGGATTTTTTTTTAAAATATTCAAAAAAAATCTTTTGAAATTTTTTATTTTATATTTTTTTACAATTTTTTTTTTTTTGTGACAATTTACAATTTTATTATGAATTAAAAAAATTTCATTATGAATTAATACCTTTAGGGGTATGTAAGGTAGAAAATTAAGGTTTAATCCTATTGGTGAATGATTTAAGGCTTTAGTCCTATTTGTTCTTTTTAGGCAAACTTTAATCCTATTTAGGCTAACAAAATTAAATCATGGATGTATTGAAATTGTAAAAGGAAAACAAATAAAATATAAAAATGGGAAATGAACGAACGTTTGGAATATATAAATATGAATACTCCGTAATTTTTTGGATGAAAGGTAAGTATATATTAAAAATCATCCAAAAGTAACAATACAAATGTATCAAAAATTATCTAAGCTAGCTAATCTAGATATCTAGCGTTCCTCCCCCCACCCACTAATACTCCATAATATATATGAAGAGCGATTCGAGGAATATATATAATTAATGAAAGATTGTGGGACAAGTAATTAATTAATACTCCGTACTTCATGTGTGCAGTGGTTCTATTACATACCATTTGTTTATTTGATTTTTAGCTAAAAATGATCCCGTAAATGTTTTTATTTTCATGCAACGGAATGATTTTGCTTTTCTTTTAATTGTGATTTTTTTGTTAAATATTCGATTAAGGAGGATTTCAAATATGTAGTACTACCTCCGTTCTCTTTTAGTTGCAACATTGGACTTTTTGCACTATTTACATATTCTACTTTGACTATATTTTATTAATTAATGTATTATAAATTAAATTTTTTAAAAATATTGTTAAATTCTTCTCATTCTAAATTTTCAAAATATGAATTTTTTAATTTTTTTACTAATAAGGAATGAGAGATATTAATGATCAAATCTGCGCATTGGCAAACGTGAAATGTTGACTGTTTCAATTAATATGGAATTGAGGAAGTATAATGCAGCGTACAGATGGGTGGGTGGGTAAATGTGGGTTGATGACCACACCCACCTTGCATGTCTCCTATTAATAGCACATACACTACAAGATCAGTTAGGGAGCCAATTAATTAAATGTCCCGAAAAAATAATAAAATATGGAGTAAGTATGTGTTTGGAATTAGATATAAGGCCGGTCCTATGTTTAATAAAAAACTATAAAGGCAGTTTGGGTAGGCAAACAAATTAGAGATCAATCGAGTATCATTACTATATTAGTCCTTTGAAAACCGTAGGTTACCACTACAGATTGTTGAAAAATTATGTGCCGTAAAATGTGCGTGCAAGTACACGAATATAAATACTACGTATAATGTGTGTACAAAACATAAATCCATTCATAATTAAGCTAGCTAGCTAGCTTTTACGGAGTATGTACGTATATTTCACTGCCCTGCCCTCTCGGTCGTATTATGAATTGAACAATCGTTCTTTAATTTAAAAAACAAAAGTGACTATATATGAGGAACTTAATTCACCATGCACCAAGAATTGCTCTTCATCGTCATTTTATAAATACTTAAATATTTAATTTACCCTTTAATTACTAGGCGAGAGTCATATGATTGCTTCGGAAAATATATACTTCAATTCGTATTTATAACTTTTGCTTACCCTTAGCTTAATTGCTCCCCTATGACCAGGGGCGGAGCCAGAAAAGTATGTGAGGGCGGTCGGAGTTTAATTATACAGTATCAAAATGATGAATAGTTATTATACAATATTTGAATGAAATATTTCATATGTAGTTGAGATAAATGGTGTTTAATGAGCCATTTTCAGTTAATGTATTGATATATATGTAATGTATCATAATGTTCACACAACTAATGACTGAATAAGGTGTTTTATTTTTAAATTTAAGAGTATAATTAACGTCACACGTCAAAATTTGCTTATTTCAAACTAAGATGATGCTGATTTTTCCAAAAGTCATAACGTTTTACTCGTAATGAGTTACGGGACCCATAATATATCAAATCGAAGGTATTTCAGAGCTCTACATTCTTGAACTTTCAGGGGGGGTCGGCTGACCACCCTGACCCTCCCTTGTCTCCGCCCCTGCCTATGACCCTATCAACCCCAACTCTATTATGGCAATATATATGAAACAATCGTGCTTTGTATACACGTTTTGTGTACACGTTGACTGAATTGTTTAATTGTGCACAACCCGTTTTTTTTGTTTAGTGAAGAGAATGATCTTGGGATCAACAATTTTTGTGTGTGTGACACATGCATATATATATGTGTGTGTAGGTATGCATAAGAAGCAAAGTATAATGTGTTTTGAAAAAAGTTGCAATGGGAGCATGCGAGACTAAACTTTGATTTACCATAAGTTCCAAGATATAAATATTTATTGCCAAAGACCCTTCCAATGCGAGCTTCCCATCGTCCGTTGTGATGGTGCCTGCTACACGTAGGTACTATACGTTTAATGCCAATTATAATGTGGTTAATCAATTGTAGAAACAATTAACTAACCATAAATTAAAATAATAGAAACAGATGTAATTAATTAACTACAAATGTAAATGGATGAGGTCATGCATGATGATATGGTGTTGAGAAGTGGCTGGGAGGGTGTTGGGGTTGCAAATTAATTAATTATCACTCACTCGTAATGGTTTGTTGACAAAAAGGAGTTTTGGCCACCCGCATTTTCAAGGTTCATTTAATTGCGTGTATAAGTAGTATTTCCCCAACAACTTGTGCATGCAGGTCAGGTATATACCAACAACATTGAAATCTACTATTAAAGGGGCCGCCCCGTATAATTAATCTCATCTCAGCTATATCACAGCGACTTTTTTAATTAGCATTTTCAAGCTAGGCGATCGATCGCGCGAAGAGATACATATGTATCTGACTATCTATACCATTGTCAATGCATGTTACTCGCTCTTTACTCTACTTGAATATATATGCTAGCTGCATGTACGTGGATTGACGCACTCAATCTAAAATTATACTCCCTCCATCGGTTAATAATTGGTGGAATTTAACTGACACAAAAAATAATAAAGTAAAAACGATACGGTGCGATTGAGTTTTCTGCGAAAAGAGAGAAATAACAGGAACCACAAATTAATTGATTAAAGTGGGAAGTGACAAAGTTTTTAGGACAATCAAAAAGGGAAAGATGACAAAGTTATAAGGGACAGATGAAGTATCAACAATTTTTGGTGTACACAAAATTTGTACACACTTGACACACATATGTATGTAACTGTCTTTGTACATAGAAAATTGTTGCGCAAGCTGCCGAGATGCCATGTACACAAGCAATCAGAAGGTGTACAGGTTGTATGTGTGCACAAACAATCACGTACAAATGTGTGTCAAGTGTGTAAAAATTTCTTGTCCAAATAGAATTTTTCAAATTATATTAATATATAATGGTACAAATTAAAGTACATAACATACAACTTCTATTAATTGTGCATATTGGAATAATATTTGGAAAATGTTATTTGTACACGTCACTTTACACGCCATTTTCTTTGCAATTGTTTTTCGCACTGACAACTTTTTTTTATCTATGCCATAGACAAAAAAATTATCATGTCTGCGCGCTAACAATCTGGTCAAATCATGTGTACAAAAAACGTGTACAGGAAGCATGATTGATAATATTTTTACACATTACCTTGCTACACCACGATATTTTGAAACACCTCTGGAAAATCCACTGCTCTTTCTGCAAATAGATACACGCACTATATCGTTGTTGTCACAAATAACATACGTAGTATATCCTTAATTAGCTTTTCCAAAGTAACATCAATAACACATACAAGTAATTATCAGCTACTGCTAATAAGATTAGCAATAATCATTAAAAACTTCTCTATAAACTCTCTCTATCGATCCATCATCAATCTTTGCTTTCATACCGGGCCGCAATTCTATCTACACTCGTAGCTAGGTTTCTCTCTTATGACGATCATGACGAAAGCATCACCTCCCGTCTCATCATGCTAATTAAATTTTGGGAACAAAACACCATGTTTTTTCCTAAAGTAATTGTCCTAAAATATACTCCTCCCTAAATAGGAGAGTCTATGTTTAATACGACCTAAATAAAACTAAATTTGCCCCCTAGCTAGCTAGGTCCATTTCATAACTAAGGTCCGGTAGTGGCGGCGGAAATTTGGAATGTTTGTGGCGGTGGTGGAGCAACGGTGACGGATGGTGGCAACTAGCGGTGGTAGCCCCATGGCAATGGCAAGCCTAAAACCCCTGTGGAGTATTCTTGTCCAATCACAAAAAACTACTATTTTTGGAATTTTAAACATCTACTCCTATTTTTGCATGTTTTTCATGGTTTAATTTACTCCTGTTATTGATGTTATATCGTTTTTAAATAATTGAAGTTTCCCTGGCTAGGCTTGGCCAATTCTAGCTCTATTAAGAATTGTCTCTAGCTAAATTGCGAGATACGCACTTTGACTCTTAGATCCTAAATTCAATTTGTTGTATATTAAATTCATATGAATTAGTAAGAAAATGATTATGAGTACGACGTTGTTTTTGCGGTTAGCCCACCACGATTGATATTAAAGATAATCGTTTAAGGGGAAACAATCACATGTTATATTGCTATGTTTTATATTCTTTTTTGGTATAATTATGTTACGGAGTATGATGCATGTTATTTGTTGTTGATCGATGCAACTTTTTTTATGTGTGCATCTTATTTGTTGTGCCCTATTTGATGAGGATCAAATATCATATTGGTAGTACTCTCTCCGTCCCTAATAAAACTTCCAAAACGGCAGAGCACACAATTTAAGATACTCGGTATTGTGTGGTGGAGAGTTACATTGTGCAAAGAAGAAAGAAATGTGTAAAAAATGTTGTGAACCACAAAATCTTTGCCCATAAAAGAAAGTGAAATTGAAGTTTAATTTGCGACGGACAAAAAAGAAAATTTGAAAGTTTATTTAGGGACGGGAGAGTACAACGTTTCTGTTTTCACAGGCGAAAAAAATGAGATAAAAAAGTACTCTGTACAAGTGAAAAAAAAAGAGCTGAAAATGGTGTTGGCGTGTAGTACAGTTACGTTGCGCGGCTATGATGCGGATCCAGCTCCTCTGCCTTACTTAGGCAGCCAAGGAGGGTGCTTGGCCATTTTAAACCATCAGATCAAAATATCAATGGCTTAAAAAGAGTGGGTCCATTTTTGGCACAAATCTCTAGGGCTGAGTTTTAATCCCTGCCCTCTGTTTTAGTAAGGTACTCTGCCTTATGGCAGAGGATCTCTATCCCTATGATGCAGGCTGATATGGTTATATTGTGGATGTGATATGAATTGACACCCGTAATCCGGCTATGATGCAGTTGTGCTGCAAGTTAGAACCGTATTACAGAGTATTACGGCCATGAGTGATCCACAATTTAAGATTTAATTGAATTGATGAGGAATATAATTAATTTTAGATATACATTTAGTGGTGAAATTAAAGGAGTATTAATGGATTTGATCATTGTAATCATAGTCACTGATGGGAGGATGTAGCTAATGCCAAATGTTGCAATAAGTGTCAAAAATATCACAATATATCAAATGTAACATTTTTAGCAAGCAATAAATGCATTGTAGTAATTTATCATGTTATTGTAGCATTTTTTTGTACAATAATGTTACAATGGATATTGTATTATAGCAAAATCCACAATGCTATAAAATAAGTGTTACAATAGTCATTTTTTTGTATAGAAAGAACGAGTGGGAGCCTAGCTAGCTAGGACCATATTTTTTTAACCGGTCTTTTTATAATTACTAGAGATTATCATTACAAAATGACATGATTATTTAAACAATAATTAAATGATATATTTAATGATTAAATTGTCATTTAGGAATGTTAATTACTTCTAAAAATACTTCCTCCGTTCTATAATTCTTGCATCATTGTGATTTTTACACTATTCACAGATCTTACTTTGGCCATGATTTTCTACTAATATACATAATCAAATTATTACGTATAAAATGTTATTGAACTCTTATCAATGTGAATTTCCAAAATATCAACTTTTTATAATGTTTACTAATACATAATTAAATATAATTACAGTCAAAGTTGTGCATTGGCAAACGTGAAAGTCAAACAAAAAGGTAAGTGACTTTGGGATGTATCAAAAATAAAAAAGGAAAGTCAAAACCTGTGGAAAAAAGTACGTACGGAGTATTAGCCTATTAGGTACGTAGTTGAATGCCGGGAAGAAAATAAATAGAAGTAGGTACCTTCTCAAAGAACCAATATACTCTTCTTTGGACTGGCCTTCCATCTCCTGTATCTCCTTCTCATAAGCATCAAGCTGCATTTTATAAGTAGCTAGAATTCGGGTTAACTGGAAAAATAAAAAAATACTCGGAATGATGAATGGATCGATATATATATATATTATAGGTTTTGCATATATACGATAGTACGTACAGGGAAATTAAGAATGGTATGTTGTCCCCAATACTTCAATGCTGCCAAGTCATATGCATGTGCTGCTGCTTCTTCTTCGTCATACGCGCCTGCATAAGCCCAATTATATTACCGCCCACCATCTTTGATTTTATTAACAAATTTAAAAAGATTTATATATATCTATATAGAGAGATCATTAATATAAGTAAAATTGATTTATATACATATCACATACGTACGAAGTATATATGTGTGCGTATTAATGTATGTATGTGTACATACTACCTCCGTCCCGGTGGACTTTGTCAAGTGCAAAGTAGGTGAGAAATAAGAATAGTAAAAAATGTGTGGTTAAGATTTGTGAAGAGGGGAGAGAAATGTGCAGAAACACAAATTAATTGTTTTAATAGGAAAGTGACAAAATTTTTTGGGAAAAAAATGGGAAGTTGGCAAAGTCGAATGGGACGGAGGGAGTATATTCGAAAACTCAGTAATAAAATATCAAATGTATAGAATAAAATAAAATTAATGAAGGTATATATAGCTAGGCCAGTGGTATAGTACATACCTAAATATACTGCATTTTCATGGTATCGATCATCATCAGCTCGCTCAACGTATGTATATATGTATGTACAGTAACAGGCCAGGGGAAAAAAGAAATCAATTAATACACACGCATACGTGATTACTTACGGTGGTTGATCGAATAATTAAGTATCTGTATAAACATACATCCATACGTACATATAGCTCAACTACACTGCAACTAATTAAATAATTATGCATAGAATAAGCTAATTAAGTATGTAGCTAGAGAGATGATGCATGAGATGAAGATCGAAACAAAGGAGTGAAGGAATCATCAAATCTAATTAATTACGTACCTTGTCTTCCTTTCTTACTCTGTGCTTCATTCCAGCAGTTCTTATCCCATAAATGAGCTTCATATCGCCCGGTCCACCGGTGCCTGCAGATCATGATGATGATGAATTGAAGATGATAATAATAATAATCGATCAATCCCAATCCGTACGTACTTGGTGACACCTCTATAAGCGGAGCTGCGCTGCGGAGGAGACTCTCTGGGTACGCTTTTCCGCGTTCGTTTCACTTTATTAGCAACGCCGGCGCCGGCGCTGCCACTGCTATTGTCCCTTTTTGATGTGGTTTTTGCCATTTCCCCACCTACTCTGTTTCTGCTCACCTCCGCCCGCCCTTTATATTTCCTCTATTCCCCCTCCGTGCATCAATTCTTAATTTTATACGGAGTATGTATGTATGTATATGTGCCGGCCGCAGCCAACTTAATTTTGGGTGGGATACGTATAATAAATAATACGGAGTTTGCTTTGCTCTCTCTCTCTGCCTCTCGCCCTTCCCTTCCTTCTTTTCCCCTTTTCTGGGAAACCACTACCTCGCTAAACGCTTTATATATACCCAATTATTTGGACGTACAAATCCAACTTTTTCTGCCAAATTTATTTCCAACTACTGTCCTTTCTTTCCCCCCTTCTTTTTTAAATTTCGATTGCACACTTTCCCTTTTTGAATAACCAGTACTCCCTCCCGTTCTTAATTAAGTTCCTGGTTTGACTTCACACATATTAATAAATAAATTTTACTTTACTGTGGAGTGCACTGTTTGAACACTGTTTGACACTGTTTGAACATTGTTTGGCACTGTTCGGCACTGTTTTGGTGTAAATCATTTGGCAAATAAGGAAAGGTTTGATGTAAGAACTTTAATATGGACCATCCCAAAAAGGAAAGTAGGAACTTAATTACGGGACGGAGGCAGTACGTAGTAGTAACTACTTCCTCCCTATCCCATTAAGGTTCTCGTTCACTATTCACACGATCAACTTAAATCATTTCCAATTTTTTACTTTATAAATCATTTTTTTTATCAAATTTACATTTTTTATTAGGCTGTATATCGATTTTAATTTAGTAACTGAATATGTAACTTTTATTTACTAAAAATAATCAGAATGTGAACATGGATTAAGTTGTTTTATCGTCAATCAAACATTCTAAACCCGTCAACGAGAACCTTCTAACCGGACAGAGGGAGTATTAAATTGCGCCCCAACCATTTTCTTTTTCTTTTTCTTAGAAACAAACTAATTTCGGGTTCCCAGAAAATCCATTTAAGCTCTTAAGAGAAGTAAATCCTGATATTTCAAATAATACACTAGCTTACCATCGTCCATCTATACACCACCGAACACAAAGAAAAGCTCTCAACTGATTGACTTCGACCGATTCGTGAAACATCGTCAAGTTCTGATTAAGAAGCTAACTCTCATAGTGCCAGTTGAGGCTAGACGAAAAATTGCTTGCACGACCATTCAATCTAGTCCCATATGGGGCATACTAAAGGATCATTATTTGAAAAAGTTCTCTCAAATTCACCTCCTTGGAAACTTAATTCCACTCAAGACCTCCTACATGAGGATGATTTTAGATGTAGAATGGATTATCTAAAAGTATACCTTATTTAGGAATCTTTGTGTATTTTGACAATTGTTATTTATTATAAATATATCTGTCACGGCTCCTTTTGGAGTATCTTTTCCTATTATTTCACATGGTATTAAGAGTCAAGACCTAATAATTTTTTTCCAGCTCTCTTTCTCCTCACGTCACAGTCGTCGCCATGACTACTTCCGCCGCATCCGTTACTACGACGGCGCCGGAGGCCACAACCACCACTGCGAGCGTGACGACGCAGCTGTCTTCCTCTACACCGGTCTCTGTTGCAGCAGTTTCAGGTGCCACTGGTTCACAGGTGTTGCGGCCCATTTCGTCGACACTGTTTTCAAGCTTCCTGCTGTTGCATTTGTTCTCCACGGTCGGGCCATACTCTCTGTTTTAGTCGCTGCCACCGCGGTTTAATTTCCGTGGAAGACGACCAGCATGCAATCTTAGGCAAATCTCACCCTCCGTCACTGCTTGCATCTTCATTCTTTGGCGCGCTCGACCTTTTCTGGATCGCTCGGCATAGTTCGGCCGCATGACCAGCCGCCATTTGGATCTCTTATGGCGTCCCTTGCTCAGTCGATTTCACATATAACTACTGTCTCACAAATTGTCACCATCAAACTCAAGGCAGCAGAGGACTGTTAAGACCCGGGGTTCCATCCTAAAAGGTCAACCTGATAGGAGGAGTAGCTCAAACCTTAATATAATGTTTAATTCTTTTAGAGATGTCCGGTGTGAGACTTTAACACCCCTCCTCACGACCAGACATTTTGTTGGGATCGTGTCGTCATTCATTTTTTCATCAGTTCGTCATTATCATTTTTTTTATATTTGTGTCATCATTTTTTATAGGGGGGCCACACCATGGATCGATTTGGCTCTGATACCCTGTTAAGCCCGGGGGTTCCATTCCAAAAGGTCAACTTGATAGGATGAGTAACTCAAATCTTAATATAGTGTTTAATTCTTTCAGAGATGTCTGGTGTGAGACTTTAACAACAAGGACTACCTCACCTAGCTCACTCAATTCAAATCATTCTTGGTCTCCCAAGGTCTTTTTGGGATTGTTCATGGTTCCATTCAGGTACCCTCTATGTACACTATTGATTTTACTAATTGTCAAATTCGAAGTACGAAGTTTATCATTGGCTGTAAGTAGATCAAACAATTCGTTGCTGGTTGTTTGCTACTCTTTCTCGTGATGTTTTGGTGGATGTCCATGATTTAAAACATTCCTTTTCTATTTGAGATAGGCTTCAAACTAGATTTATGTCTGCCCGGTGTATGGAACTAAAACGTTTGTTGTCCAATATGAAAAAGAAAGAAAATCAATATATGGAACATTGTTTGAGAGATATCAAGAATTTGGTTGACTCCCTTGCTGCTATTAATTCCCCCGTGTCGGATAAAGAGTTACTTCAATCAATTGTGATCGGCCTGGGTCCTGAGTATGAATATCCAGTCACCACGGTCTCTTTATTTCTCGAAAATTTTCTCTTCGATGTCCTGCAGCCTCGTCTCTTGGAGCAAGAGCAACGTGTTCTCTACCAACGCCAACCGGAGATGGAGGCCGGCCACCTGGCATGTGCTGCTAATGCCGCTGTTGGCCAGCAACAGCCAGGACAATTTTATCGTGGTAGGGGGTGCAGAGGAGGTCGTGACAGAGTCGGACAACAGCAATAATGTGTGCATGAATCGACATCGTCGGTTCATGGTTATGGTCAACAGCCGGTTCAGATGCAGGGGGTGCAGCCTCCACGTTCGAACACTTCAGGTTCTGCGTGTAATTCTGTTTTGTTAACTTTAATGTTAATCCCTATTTTATTTGTGATACTCACTCTAGCAATGTAGGCTTCCCATCGGCTGAGGGTATTCTTGGACCTGTTCCATCTTCCGTAGTCTGTCAAATTTGTTTCTCTGCAGGTCACCCTGCTCTTCAGTATCCCCCTCGTTTTAGCCAACCTTCTGTGCCAGCTCTTCTGACTTCCAATGGTGTTTCAAATGCTGCTTTATGGTATCCTGACTCTGGAGCTTCTGCTCACATGACTCGTACAGAAGGTATTTTAGTTAATAAATTACTTTACACTAGACCACTTTATGTTAGTGTTGCTAATGGCTCTTAACTTCCCATTGTTAGTGTTGGAGATATTCATTTAAATTCTTCTAGCCATCCTCTTACTTTAAAAATCGGTTTTTCATGTCCCTCACCTTAAATTTATTTTTGAAAAATTGATAGTAATAATCCCAACTATTAGCGGTCCGCTCATAATAATCTCAACTATCGATTATTTCAGAATAATCCCAACTTTAGGGACCTTCCGCCAATAATGGTCCGACGTGATCGGTTATAAATAAATTCTTATAGTTTCTAAAGTGGATGAGAAGAGATATAGCAGGTAATCCCTATAAATAATCACAACTTTTAATTTTTATGCTTAATTTCTTTTAAAATTCACCTGTTATAGCAGGTAATATCCGGTCATGGACCATTATTGGCGGACGGTACATATAGTTGGGATTATACAAAAATAATCAATAGTTGGGATTATTGTTAGCGGACCAGCAATAGTTGAGATTATTATTTTCAATTTTTCCTTTAATTTATTATCCATACAAAAAATTTGTGCTAATAACAATTGTGTGATAACTGTTGATAAAAATTCCTTTTTTGTTAAGGACAAACTTTCGGGGGCGGTCCATCTTCAAGCACCTAGTCATGACCATCTTTATCCAGTCATCCTCAGTCCACCGCCACAGCTAGCTTTGTCATCCCTCACTACATCGGACCTATTTGGCACTGTAGATTAAGCCACTGTGGCGATTCTATTTTACGTCTATTACATAGCTAACAACATATTTGCAGTAGCTCTAGTTTCTCTCATGATTGTATTTCTTGCCGCTTAGGCAAATCTCAACGTTTACCTTTTTCGGATATAAGTCACACTTGTTTTATGCCTTTAATTATAATTAATTCATTCTCATGTTTGGCAGTATCACATTTTATCTAATTTGGGTTTTAAATATTATATATGTCTGTTTTATTGAAAATTGTCCGTGCTTTACTTGGCTCTATCCCATGCGCAAAAAGGCTGAAGTTTTCATCATTTTCAAAATTTAAAAGCTTCAGTTGAAAATCTTTTTCATACTAAAATTAAAGTCTTTCAAAGATATGAAGGGGGTGAATTTGTTAATTTTAATATGGCATCCGTTTTTTGATAAAAATGGGATTTATTTTCACAAGTCTTGTCCCGACACACCTCAACAAAATGTGATGACTGAACGTAAACATCAGCATCTTTAATTTTAGAACTCACTATGACTATGCTTCTTGATGTCTCTATTCCTAGTCATTTTTGGGTTGATGCAATTTTCACCGCTGCATATATTATTAATTATTTACCCTCCCCTGTACTTTGTGACTTTTCTTCGTATGTTAAACTTTTTCAAAAATCTTTTGACTATTTTTTTGTGTGTGTGCTTGGGTGCAGTTGTTTTCCAAATATATCTGCTTCTTACTTCATCAAAATTTCGGGTGACATTTCGTTTTCATTGGCTATGCATCTGTTTATAATGGATATCGTTGTCTTGAACCTAAGGCTATGTTTGGCGGGCATAAGTCTCTGTCTTCTAGCTTTTGTACTGTTCAAAAAGTCTCTAAAAGCTTCTAGTTATATGTTTGGCATGACAAATGTTAAGAGCTTTTCAAAAATTAAAAGATCTTTTTTATATGCTACAGAGAGTAGCATATGAAAAAAGCCCGTGACTTTTAGTATGAATTAATCCTAACAGCTTGTATAGCAAACCGAACTAAATCAAACAATCAGCTTTTTACCAAACAGCTACCACCTTTTCTTTTTAAGATCTTTTCAGTCACTAAAAGCTAACAGTTATTAAAAAACTCACAAAAGTACCTTTTCAACTAGTTGTGCCAAACATACCCTAAGTCTTGTAGAGTCTACATTTGTTGTCCCTATTTCATTCAACAATCATACAAAATAATATAGAATAAAATAGAGAAGAGAAGAACTGTGTATTGAATATCAGAATGATATTTTCTAATACAGAGCAATATTCCAAATACACAGTGCGAAAATCTCTCTCTCTCTCTCTCTCTCTCTCTCTCTCTCTCTCTCTCTCTCTCTCTCTCTCTCTCTCTCTCTCTCTCTCTCTCTCTCTCTCTCTCTCTCTCTCTCTCTCTCTCTCTCTCTCTCTCTCTCTCTCTCTCTCTCTCTCTCTCTCTCTCGATGTATGCCCTAGTCTATTTCGTAGATGCCTATATGTTTCCTTAAGTTAGCTTCATTTTATACATAAGGATGTCTAACTTAAGGCTTACTAAGGTGCTAATGGGCTGAAAGGTATTTGTGGCCCATATCACACATCTAAATTAATAGCTACACAAATACAAAGATATTTAACTAGATTGGACACCATAAAAAGTTCCAACATTCTCCCCCTAGGTGTTCAATCATGTTCAATCAGCATTGCTGCGCGGATATATTTGTCTTTGTGTTGATTCAGCAATGTAGAGGAGAGCGTAGATAAAATCTATTGAGTTGCTCTTCTTTTGTCTTGATCTTCAGAGCAGCTCAGCTTCCTTTGTCTTCTTGAAAAAAGGCTTTCTGAAGAAATCCTTGCAATCTCCCCTTTGATATCTTCTTGGCAATTTGTTCTTCGATGTCGGAGTTTGAGAAATTTTGATGAAGAAAGGGCCTTTGGAGAGAGATTTGACAGTTTTGGAGGCCACCGGGAGGTTCACGACGAAGTTTTGATGAAGAAAGGACCTTTGGATCGATGATAAGTTCGTATTTCAACACGCATTTGATGCGTGATGGGGTCGGATTTTGATAAATTTCCTAGCTTTAAGGCGTTGCAAGTCTCAATTTCAGCTCAAGTTGTGATCACCAGGCGTTGGTACGAGTTTTGTTGCATTTGGAGTCAAAATGATGAATTTAGAGTCCCGCATCGGCGCTTGAGAGGCAATCGGGAAGAGCTTGAAAGCATTCGAGAGATGTTCGAGAGATTTGGATGAAGAAAGAGCATTTGGATCGACTTCGTATGCATCCAGGAGCGTTTGGAGCGAGAAAAGACGAAGTATGAAGAAAAAAAGGGTTGGCACGGTCGTGCCTGGCCCTAGGCACGCTGTGCCTGCTGTTATTTGATGTACCTACTCGCTGGAAAGGCAGGCACGCCGTGCCTGGACCCGAAACGCGGATTTCGGCTTTGCTCCGCATGCACGGTCGTGCCTGACCCCTGGCACGCCGTGTCTGACCCCGTTTTAATCCTAATTCAACCCAAAGTCATTTGTTTTCTATAAATAAGGCATCCCTTCTCCTATTTTGGGGTTACGAACATTACGGAGAGGCCTAGGGACGAATTTATTCATTGTTTTCCGCTATTTTACTCCAAGAATCTGGGATTATTTGTAAGTTCATCTTTTTAATTACTGACAATTAATTATATTCTTCCCAATTCTGTTGATTCTTCAATTATGAATTGTGAGTAGTTTAATTAGGGATTTGGGCTTGTTGAAGGGGTTAATCATGATTTATGGCTAGATTCTTGATGGTTTAATTGAATGAATGTCGTTTAATTTGTGTCTGAATAATTTAACTGATATCTTTTGTATTCTAGAACGCGCGCTAGAATTACAATTGCTTGTAGAATAAATTAAGAGAGATCTAGTTTATTCTAGGACACATTCACGCACACTTAATCGTTTGCTAAGATATTAGTAGCGATTAAGGGGGCGTAAGCTCGCTCGTCTTGGCAATAATTTAGGATCTTGTCGCATGAGAGATCAGCCTGGTCCTCCTATATTATTGTACTCTACGCCGCGAGAGCGGTAAGAATTTAGTAATGATTAGCTAGGCTCAATTAAATTAATTTCATGTGATTAGGCCTGATCTGCCAGAAACCTGGTTACCCCAGAATCAATCCATGTTCTCTTCGTCGTTAATTGAGAAGAAACCAATCTTTTATTTTATTGCTCATTAGCATTAGTTTAATTCTCTAAACCAATCCATCTCGCACAATAGTATTTTATTTTACTTTATTTCTTTTTAATCGTTGAATTTAGTTAATCTTTAATTCCCCTTTGTTCGTCCCTGTGGAGACGATACTCGTACTTTCAACCACTTTACTACATCATTTTTAAGTGCGAGAAAACTCACATCAATCGACCTTGGATGCACTCGAGAGCGTTTGGAGCAAGAAACCGAAGAAAACAGAGGTTTAAGGCCACGCATGGCCGTGCGTACAGGGACGCACGCCGTGCGTGCATGGCAGACGAAGGCATCAAAGTTGGTGCTTGACGCACGGTCGTCCGTCAGGGTACGCACGCCATGCGTTCGAGGCGAGAAAACAAGGAGCACACTGCTGCCACGCACGCCGTGCGTAGCAATTAAATTCGCACAAGTTAGTCGGACGCACGGACGCCACGCACCCCGGATCAGTTCTATTCCAGCCCGAATTCGTTGTTTTCTATAAATAAGGCCTTCATACCCCTTTTTCGGGGTTACGAACTTCATAGAGAGAGGCCTAGAGATGAGTTTTACGTTGTTTTTACGCATTGTTCTTCAAGACTCTGGGATTATTTGTAAGTTCAATCTTTTTAATTAATGACAATTATTTCTTATTCATCCTAATTCTGTTGATTTATCAATTATGAGTTGTGAGTAGTTTAATTAGGGATTTGGGATTGATGAAGGGGTTGATCATGATGTATGGCTAGTTTCTTGATGGATTAATTGCATGAATGCCGTTTAATTTGTGTCTGAATAATTTAACTAATATCTCTTGTAACCTAGAACGCGCACTAGAATTACAATTGCTTGTAGAATAACTTAAGAGAGATCTAGAGGCCGTTTGGCAACACTGATTTTCGGTTATGAGCTTTATCAGCCGACTTTTTCACCAAACATGTAACTTTTGCTTTCGCGCGCTGAAATGTGTAATAAGCAGAAAAAGTAAGGTTGCAGTTACTTTTCTGGCTGTATTGGCTGAAATTACTGTAGATGACCATTTTAGATATTTTTACATATAATTTTTTCTTCATTTTATTAATATAATATATTTTAAAATGTTTTTTTCTTAAATCAGCAGAATCAGCCAATGCAGCCACTTCAGCCAGAACTTCATAAATTTCAGCAGAATCAGCCAAAACAGCCGATTTTCGTGCTACCAAATGGGCTCCTAGTTTATTCTAAGACACATTCACACACACATAATCGTTCGCTAAGAGATTAGTAGCGATTAAGGGATCGTAAGTTCGCTCGTCTTGGCAATAATTTAGGAACCTGTCGCATGAGAGATCAGCCTGGTTTCCTAAACTATTGTACTCTACTCCGCGAGAGCGGTAAGAACTTAATAATGATTAGCTAGGCTCAATTAAATTAATTTAATGTAATTAAGGCTAATCTGCCAGAAATCTGGTTACCCCGAAATCAATCTATGTTCCCTTCGTCGTTAGTTAGAGAGAAACCAATCTACTTTTATTTGTTATTCAGCATTTAATTTTCCAAACCAATCAATCTCGCACCATTGCATTTTATTTTATTTTATTTTTTATCGCTGAATTTAGTTAATTCTTAATTCCCTTTTGTCCGTCCCTGTGGAGACGATACTCGTAATACTTTACTACAATTTATTTTAAGTGCGAGAAAACTCACATGAATGCTTTTGAGGAGACATTGTCGGTGGCACAACGGAAAATTATGCTTGACTTGTCAGCGTAGCTGACCATTTGATGTGAAGCTGACTTGGCAGTATTGATGATTTGAGATAGTAGAGAGCCATTGTTGATTTTTGTTGTGGAGGAGATAAGTGTCCAAGAATGATTTGTTGAGAGTAAATGATAAGTCCATTTCTGTACTTATTTTTCTTATCAAATTTAAGCGAATTTTGATTGAAAATAGAAAGAAAAGGCATATTTTAGATATTTTGGTTCAAGTTTCATGAAATCAGGTGAAAATCACATTCATAATATATTTGCCGGAATTTCGGGTCGATTGAGCACAAAATGAGTCAATTTGAGTAACAAATGAAGTCATACCGGAAGAAGTAAGCATTTTATCAAAGTGATCCAGAAGACAATCTTGGAGAGCAGGAAACGCAGGAACTACCAGACAAAATTGGCAGAAGGCGCCCAAATAGGCGCCCAAAATGGCCGCCTGGTTGGCCGCCTGCGGGAAAAATCAAAAGTCAACCTCGCTTTGACTCGGAACCAGGAAAAGACCGAAGGCTGCCGACACGAGGAAGAAAGCGGCCGCCCTCGGTGGCCGCCTGCGGCACAAGGGTACGAAACCAACCACCGGCCGGTGAGAATCGACGGCAGGCGGCCAGACAGGAACGGCAGGCGGCCGCCTGCTGGACCGCCTGCGGCGGCCGGGATCCGCCGCGATCCGATCTGCCGGCGAAAAGACGGTAGGCGGCCAAATTTGAGGGAAGGCGGCCGCCCTCAGTGGACGCCTGCGGCTGACGGAGACCAGCGCACGTAGGTCTGCCGGCGACTTGACGGCAGGCGGCCAGATGCTGCCGGAAGGCGGCCGCCTGCTTGGACGCCTTCGGGATTTTTTCTGCTATAAATAACAGGCTTTTTCCTCATCTCAAACACACCATCTCTAACCCTAAATCAGTTCTAAAAAGGCTTCTTCTTCTTCCATTTTCGAGCTCCAAAGGTCTTAGAGAGAGAGAAACTTCAAATCTTCATATCTTCTTCATTTTAGCTCCAAATTGTAAGTTCTTTATATGTATTTTCATCTTCTCAACGTGTAGAATCTGAATCTGTGCTTTGTTTCTTCGATCTGTTCTTCGAAAATTTCCAGATTATTTTTCAAGTATTTCGCATTTCCTTCCAAAAATTAAATAAAATAGTTATTGATGTTGAATTCATTCCAATTAATTATATAGTTGTTCACTAGCCTCTAGGTAGTTATTTATCTGAAGAAATTTATTTTTCACGAAGTAGAAGTTATTTTTTAATTAATTTCGGTAATTACTTGATATTATTGCTTAAATTAAAATAAATACTCAAAAAAATTAAAAAAAAATTAGTTCGGCCTTAATTTCAGTTTAATTCATTGTTATATCACTACCAGTAGTTAAAATAAAATTTATAACGAAGTTAGAGTATTTTTAGTTGCTTTTTGCATTTTCTAGTTAAAATTGGGAAAATCATCAATTACTTGCTAAAATTGGATCTTAAATTTATTAATTCGTGAAAACTTCCAGAAAATTATATTTTAATTCCTATAATTTTATTGTCCCATAATATAAGTTTTGTTTGAATTTTTGCTATCATCCATGTTTAATTCCTTGTTAATGTTGAATATACTCATTATATTGTTAGTTGTAAAAATGATGTTTAGTAGCTAAATTTGTTTTGGGCATGAATTGAGAAAAGGAATATGGATTGACTTGTTGACCTAAAATTAGGGGTTAAAATTAATAAATTGGACTAGTTGTTTAAAATGATGAAATAGTAATTAATAATAGTTAGCCATTTTCATTAATTAAATTCTTGGAAAATTAATTCTAACTTGTCTATGAGATTAGAAATTAATTTAAGCCAACCATATTTGAGCACATTAATAAGACCTAGAAATAGGATAATTTAATGAAAAGGATTTACATCTTGTCTATGAGAAATAAATTCAGTTGCTAAAATAAAGAGTTTAACTAGTTAATGACTTGCTGACAAACAAGAGGCAGCTGCAGGAGCTCTCAGTCGTGGACTTGAACGCAGAATGCTCGGCTGTGGTTCTGAGGTCAATACCCGAAAAGCTAAAGGATCCAGGTAGTTTCACTATCCCTTGCTCTATAGACAATTTCAATTTCAATAATGCTCTAGCTGACTTAGGGGCAAGTATCAATCTGATGCCTTCCTCTATAGTCGAGAAGCTAGGACTTGGGGAAATGAAACCCACCAGGATGTGTCTTCAACTGGCTGATCGCTCAGTCAAATATCCGAAAGGAATTGTTGAAGACGTCTTGGTCAAGGTTGACAAATTCATTTTCCCAGTGGACTTTGTAGTAATGGACATGGAAGAGGATAGAGAAACACCTCTTATTCTGGGAAGGCCCTTTTTGGCTACCGCCAGGGCCTTGATTGATGTCACTGATGGCTCATTAACTCTAAGAGTCGGAGATGATCTATGCACCTTCCGACTCTCAGATGTTATGAAACACCCCACAGATTCCTTTCAAGGATGTCATTTTCTTGATACCTTTGAGTCTATTGAAGGGTATCTGTTTGGGGAAGAAAATGGACATGTAACTGACAAAGCATGTCTGTTAAAAGAAGCCAACACTGATGCGAGTGATGCATGTGAGAGTTGTGAGGATGCGCTGATTGATCAAGCTTCTAACGAAGTATTGATTGAGTTTGAGGGGGAGAAAAATGAACAAAACTTAAAAAACGACCACCCCCTCGAACTAAAGAAACTGCCCGACCACTTAGAATATGCATTCTTGGATGACGAAGGCAAATGCCCTGTCGTCATCGCCGCACACTTAAGCGAGGAACAAAGGGAGAAATTACTTGGAGTCCTTAAGACACACAAGCAAGCAATTGCTTGGAAACTTGAGGACATCAATGGAATAAGCCCCGCCTTTTGTACCCACACCATCAAGATTGAGGAAGGGTTTAAACCAGTAGTCCAACCACAACGACGTTTAAACCCAAACATGATGGAAGTAGTGCGTGCCGAGATTGTCAAACTGCTGGATGCGGGTATCATTTACCCCATCTCTGATAGCCAGTGGGTAAGCCCTATTCATGTTGTCCCCAAAAAAGGAGGAATGACCGTCATGAAAAATGAAAAGGGCGAACTTCTACCCAGTTGAACTGTTACCGGGTGGCGAATGGTAATCGATTACCGCAAACTGAACGAAGCCACCCGGAAAGACCATTTTCGCCTTCCCTTCATCGATCAATTAATAGAGAGGTTGGCAGGCCATAGTCACTACTGTTTCCTGGATGGCATGAGTGGATACTTCCAAATCCATGTCAACCCGGAAGACCAAGACAAAACTACGTTTACATGCCCTTTTGGGACCTTTGCTTTTCGTAGGATGTCTTTTGGTCTCTGTAATGCCCCTGCCACCTTCATGAGGTGCATGATTGCCATTTTTGAAAAATACATTGGCCACTTCATGGAGGTATTCATGGATGACTTCTCTATTTTTGGGGAAACATTTGAAAAATGCCTTGAAAACCTGGAAAAAGTACTTATCCGCTGCAAGGAAACCCATTTAGCCCTAAGTTGGGAGAAATGTCACTTCCTTGTGAAAGAGGGTATAGTACTTCGACATAAAGTGTCAAGTAATGGGGTAGAGGTGGACCGTGCAAAAATTGAGACGATAGAGAAACTTCCTCCACCAACCACGGTAAAAGCCATCCGCAGCTTCTTAGGACACGCGGGCTTTTATCGTCGTTTTATAAAGGATTTCTCTAAAATCGCAAAACCTCTCACCCGGTTACTTGAAAAAGATGCGGTTTTTATATTCTCTGATGAATGTCACCATGCTTTCCAAGCACTTAAAACACAACTGATCAATGCACCTGTGCTTGTGGCCCCAGATTGGAGCTTACCCTTTGAACTCATGTGTGACGCTAGTGACTTAGTAGTGGGGGCCATCCTTGGTCAAAGGAAGGACAAGAACTTCCACCCAATCTACTACGCTAGCAAAACTCTGTCAGGGCCACAACTCAACTACACTACCACTGAAAAAGAATTCCTTGCTATTGTTTGTGCTTTAGAGAAGTTTAGGACTTACATCATTCTTTCAAAGGTTATTATCTATACCGACCATTCGGCCATTAGATATCTCCTCCAAAAGCATGATGCTAAGCCTAGACTGTTATGCTGGGTTCTTTTGTTGCAGGAATTTGATATTGAAATCAGGGACCGAAAAGGGTCTGCTAATCAGGCAGCTGATCACCTCTCGAGGTTAGATGCCGAGTTAGCAGAAACTTTCGGAAAATGCGAAATTGAGGAACTTTTTCCTGCTGAGAGACTGATGGCAATATCCGCCAAGGAACAAACACCGTGGTATGCCGACATTGCCAACTACCTTGTTGGTAAAGTCAAGCCTACTGAACTGACGAGACACATGAAGAGGCAGTTCTTATCAGAAGCAAAGCACTATTTTTGGGATGATCCATATCTATTCCGAATTTGTGCTGACCAGGTGGTGAGAAGATGTGTTACTGAAGCTGAGGCAAAGGACATTCTGGAGCATTGTCACAGCGGTCCTACTGGGGGCCACTTTTCAGGGAATAGAACCGCAAGGCGGGTTTTGGACTGTGGGTACTTCTGGCCCACGATTTTTAAAGATGCTAATGTATTTGTTTCGTCTTGTGATAACTGTCAACGAATCGGGAACATTTCTGGGCGCAATGAGATGCCCCAACACTTTATCTTACCTTGTGAGGTATTTGATGTTTGGGGCATCGACTTTGTTGGACCTTTCCCAAGCTCAAGAGGAAACAAATACATTCTTGTGGCCATTGATTATGTTTCTAAATGGGTTGAAGCCCAGGCCTGTGTCACCAACGACTCTCGAGTAGTCGTGAATTTTCTGAAAAAGCTCTTTACCAGATTTGGTGTGCCTAAGGTTTTGATCAGCGATAGAGGGACTCATTTCCACAATGATCCAATGGCCAGAATTTTGGCCAAATATGGAGTCCAACATCGAAGCGGAGTAGCGTACCACCCCCAGACTCAGGGACAAGTGGAGAACGCTAACAGAGATTTGAAGTCCATTCTGGAGAAAACTGTTGCCCAGACCAGGAAAGACTGGTCGACCAAACTTGACGACGCTCTTTGGGCATTTCGGACTGCATACAAAACCCCGATCGGAACCACACATTTTCGCCTTGTATACGGGAAGTCTTGCCACTTACCCGTCGAACTCGAGCATAAAGCACTTTGGGCGATGAAAAATGTCTGTTTTAAACTGGATGCTGCAGGGAAAGAACGATTTTACCAGCTGAATGAACTGGAAGAGTGGAGAGCGCAAGCTTTTCATAATTCCAAACTTTACAAGGAACGGGCCAAACTCTACCATGATCAACACATCAAGGCTCGTGATTTCAATGCTGGAGATAAAGTGCTGTTATTCAACTCCCGGTTGAAGCTTTTTCCAGGAAAGCTTAAGTCAAGATGGTCCGGACCGTTCAAGGTCATAAAAGCTTACCCCTACGGAACTGTTGAAATTGAAGATGCTAATGGGGGTCCCTTTAAAGTCAACGGCCACCAACTTAAACTCTACCATGGCGGCCCGATTGAAAAAAGCAAGGAGATTCTCTATCTCCAAAAATTTTGAACCAAAGGAGGACATTCGTCAAGCTAGTGACGTTAAAGAAGCGCTCATTGGGAGGCAACCCAACCAAAAAAAAAAAAAACTAACCCAAAAATATTTTACTTTGTTTATTTCTTGCAGATGTATGGAGGAGGTGACGACCCCATCTTTGAGGATACACCACTAGGAAGGGAAGATCCGCCGCCTCGACCCGATATCCCCTTTGCCACTATTGCAGACCGGAGACGCTTTCAGGTATGGGGACAGTACCGCACTCTCCTAGCTCCCATGATCTTAGACCAGGCGATGCTCGAGGCGTGGGGATACTGGAGTGATATTGATGCTCTGCTGGGAGACTCTTTGTGGCGGAGGATTCTACTCATACAGGAGAGGGCCAGTCTCCCGTTGACGATGGAGTTCTTGTGCTCTCTACAGTTCACTCACTATGGCCAGACTGTGCAGGAGGGTTCTGTCATTGGGTCGGAGACTCAGATGAGATTCACTATTAGGGGCATTGAGCACTCCATCTCTGTGGCTGAGCTCGGATGGAGGAGGGGGCTCTATGCTCCGGCTTACACCCAGACTGAGGAGTTCCGTACTCTCTCGACCCGTCTACCTGAGGCTTTTGACATTGAGGAGTTCTGGCGCCGACACTCCACAGACACTAGGTCGTTTCTCCGGCAGCATCCCCATTCGAACAAATGGAGAGAGACTCACTGGTATATACTCTCATTTGTACTCTCCTGTGGTCTTTTTGGGCGACCTCATAACACAAACAGGGTGTCCAAAAAGGACATTTTATTCTTTTGGAGTCTGGTTCACCGTACCCCGGTGAATATGGCGGTCCTTATGGCTCGTTTCTTCCGGAGCCAGGGGAAGACTGTCCGCCGCACTATCCAGGCAGGACCTTTTGTCACCACTCTCGTTCGATCATTCTATCCTACCCTAGACATTCCAGGGCTACTACATCTACAGGATAGCATCCGCGTTCTTCGTTCTTCTTCCTTTGGCAACATGAAGATCAAGAAGAAACGGAGTATTCAGGAGCTCCCAGGCACCGAGCAGAGTGGTTCCTCTCGACCCCCACCGCACAGGAGATATAGTGAGCCCTCCTCAGACATGCCCAGTGCATCAGATTGGAGGGCGATGATAGACGGGATGAGGAGTCTACAGACCTCAGTCTCAGAGATGCGGGTTGCACAGGACAGAGGATTTCAGGAGATGCGAGAGGCGCATACAGCGGTCCTGGGGGAATTCAGAGATTTCTGACGGGTGCAGGAGGACGCCTACAGGGATATTCAGGAGCAGTTAGAGACCCAGAGGCTAGATATTGATGAGATGCGAGACTGGCTTAGGCCCAACTATGGCCCCCAGGATGGCACAGGCGATGTTTAGATTTGCTTCTTCCTTAACATTTTTATTATGTTTGTTTGTTCTTCAGGTTGGACATTGCGCTGCTCTTTTGGCTTGAATGCTCTTACAACTGACTATGGATGATGTAAGGATTTTTAAAACCATTTTACTCCTGTTTCATTATTCCTCTTCACAAAATCTTTTTAAATCTTAAGTGTGAGGAAAGAACCAAAAAAAAAATGTGCCTTTATTTCCCAATTTTGTGCCTCAAAAGAAGACCTCGAGGGCGAGGTCTAGCTCAAGTGTGAGGAGGTTGCATTTTACACTCAAAAGTTAAAACCTTGTTTTAGAACAATCTTTTTACTATTTTTGATATGAAACATTAATTTCTCAATTTGTTATCAATCACATAAATAGCTTAGATAATCACTCCTATTATAAGAATTTACTTTTATTATTATTTTTAGAAAACTTGAATTTGTTATAGGTTTTTGGTTGTGAATGTAAAGGGCTGAATTTGTTTTAATTGGACATTCATTTTATTCATTAAAACAAAAATGTTAGTATTAATAAAACTCCAAAACTCATTGTTATAGGACAATTCTATCTCCAAAAAGGGGCTCTGCTTCATTCGTTAATCATAGTCTTTGAGAATGAAGTATGCATGGGATAACACCGCCAACAAAAGTGGAAAGGAGACACACACAAAAAAAAAAAAAAAAAAAAAAAAAAAAAAAAAAAACTGGTGAACAAGATGTATGTCCAATTTAGAATAATGAAAACCTTGGGATAAGGAATTGATTGGTGGTTTAACATAATCCATAGTTTTTTCAAAAGTAATAATAATTTTAAATTCTTATATTCTGGGTGATTTTTTCTAAAATATTTAAAAATTGAGAATAAAAGAGAGAGATTTTGTTTCTCCTTCTTTAATAGCAATTCGATTGTGATAAAGTCAAGTTTTACATCTTTTGAGTGTGGTTGCAACTAATTTGTCGCTTGAGGACATGCAACGCTTAAGTGTGAGGAGATTGATAAGTCCATTTCTGTACTTATTTTTCTTATCAAATTTAAGCGAATTTTGATTGAAAATAGAAAGAAAAGGCATATTTTAGATATTTTGGTTCAAGTTTCATGAAATCAGGTGAAAATCACATTCATAATATATTTGCTGGAATTTCGGGTCGATTGAGCACAAAATGAGTCAATTTGAGTAACAAATGAAGTCATACCGGAAGAAGTAAGCATTTTATCAAAGTGATCCAGAAGACAATCTTGGAGAGCAGGAAACGCAGGAACTACCAGACAAAATTGGCAGAAGGCGCCCAAATAGGCGCCCAAAATGGCCGCCTGGTTGGCCGCCTGCGGGAAAAATCAAAAGTCAACCTCGCTTTGACTCGGAACCAGGAAAAGACCGAAGGCTGCCGACACGAGGAAGAAAGTGGCCGCCCTCGGTGGCCGCCTGCGGCACAAGGGTACGAAACCAACCACCGGCCAGTGAGAATCGACGGCAGGCGGCCAGACAGGAACGGCAGGCGGCCGCCTGCTGGACCGCCTGCGGCGGCCGGGATCCGCCGCGATCTGATCTGCCGGCGAAAAGACGGTAGGCGGCCAGATTTGAGGGAAGGCGGCCGCCCTCAGTGGACGCCTGCGGCTGACGGAGACCAGCGCACGTCGGTCTGCCGGTGACTTGACGGCAGGCGGCCAGATGCTGCCGGAAGGCGGCCGCCTGCTTGGACGCCTTCGGGATTTTTTCTGCTATAAATAACAGGCTTTTTCCTCATCTCAAACACACCATCTCTAACCCTAAATCAGTTCTAAAAAGGCTTCTTCTTCTTCCATTTTCGAGCTCCAAAGGTCTTAGAGAGAGAGAAACTTCAAATCTTCATATCTTCTTCATTTTAGCTCCAAATTGTAAGTTCTTTATATGTATTTTCATCTTCTCAACGTGTAGAATCTGAATCTGTGCTTTGTTTCTTCGATCTGTTCTTCGAAAATTTCCAGATTATTTTTCAAGTATTTCGCATTTCCTTCCAAAAATTAAATAAAATAGTTATTGATGTTGAATTCATTCCAATTAATTATATAGTTGTTCACTAGCCTCTAGGTAGTTATTTATCTGAAGAAATTTATTTTTCACGAAGTAGAAGTTATTTTTTAATTAATTTCGGTAATTACTTGATATTATTGCTTAAATTAAAATAAATACTCAAAAAAAGGAAAAAAAATTAGTTCGGCCTTAATTTCAGTTTAATTCATTGTTATATCACTACCAGTAGTTAAAATAAAATTTATAACGAAGTTAGAGTATTTTTAGTTGCTTTTTGCATTTTCTAGTTAAAATTGGGAAATCATCAATTACTTGCTAAAATTGGATCTTAAATTTATTAATTCGTGAAAACTTCCAGAAAATTATATTTTAATTCCTATAATTTTATTGTCCCAGAATATAAGTTTTGTTTGAATTTTTGCTATCATCCATGTTTAATTCCTTGTTAATGTTGAATATACTCATTATATTGTTAGTTGTAAAAATGATGTTTAGTAGCTAAATTTGTTTTGGGCATGAATTGAGAAAAGGAATATGGATTGACTTGTTGACCTAAAATTAGGGATTAAAATTAATAAATTGGACTAGTTGTTTAAAATGATGAAATAGTAATTAATAATAGTTAGCCATTTTCATTAATTAAATTCTTGGAAAATTAATTCTAACTTGTCTATGAGATTAGAAATTAATTTAAGCCAACCATATTTGAGCACATTAATAAGTCCTAGAAATAGGATAATTTAATGAAAAGAATTTACATCTTGTCTATGAGAAATAAATTTAGTTGCTAAAATAAAGAGTTTAACTAGTTAATGAATTTGGCTATTTTTATTAATTAAAATATTGGAAAATTATTTCTACCATGTCTATGGGTTTAGAATATAATTTAAGCCAACCATTTTAAACACATTAATGACACCTAGAAATAGGATAAATTGATGAAGATAGTTTCTATTCTTGTCTATGAGGAAAGAAATTATTAGTCCAACCTTTGTCTTAATTTCCCTAATTAAGAGGTCCAAGAACATATCCATTTCTAATTACTCAATTCATTGCCCTTATTTGCATCAATCTTTAGAACACTTAATTTTTGAACATTAATCTTTAAATTGATCCTAGCTCTTACTTTTAAACTGGCATAATTTAGAACACAACCACTTTCCTATATTGAAAAAGCTTCCAACGATTAGCGATAGCCCGTGACTAAAATTAAATTAAGAAACTTCTCCGTCATTCCTCAAGAGACACGATACTCGGGGAAAAACCGAAAGGTTAGACTCCGTTTTACTACAACGCCGCGGAAGCGGTTATCAGTAAACATCATGTGGACCACTCTCCCCCTCATGACGATCCGATGAATCAGGACGTCATGTCTTTATTCTTTAATTCTGGGTAACAAAACATAAAACAAACAGAAAGGTAAAAACCGGAGACACCGCGGTTTTCCGTTATCACAACATCAATGTAAACACTGATGTGTGGCCTGTATAAAATGATAGAAGCGTTACAACTCTAACAGGACTTCCAACCAGTCATTGTGAAACATCTGAAGTAGATGTCACTTTGGTTGTTATGGCATGATCTCAAGAATCAGCAATGAAAGTGGTAGCCCCCCGAGGTCACGTAGACGCCCGTTATCATCACTATAGAGAAAAACTCTAAAGCGATGGCCTGAACGTGTTGGTGATTTCTATGTTGCAACGGCAAGACTTCCTTCCAATCATTGGTCTACATCTATAGTAGATGAGCCCAATGAAAGTTCTCGCGGGTCATGAAGACCTGCAACTGACTCTAAAAAGTGTCTGTGTCCTAGAAAATTCAAAACATTTGGGAGTGAGATAACCAGACACGACGTGATCAATGAAAATTCAGTGGCATGGGGTTGAGGGCCACTGTAGTCAGTATCAGTTGCCTCAGAAGGAGACGGTGATAAGAGATGAGGTTCCCCGTGAAATATGATTAAACACCTGTCTTTTGGGAGACAAGTGAGTGGTCTTGGGTAGGGTTGCGCATGCGCCGTTTGGACAAAATGCATCGACTTCTACCTGGGATCTGAATAAATTTAGTCTTGAACCTATGGGGTTTGCCCGAAGTATTTGAGTGTCTGGGAGTCATTTTCTCCATTGATAGCAGAATTGAGGTAGTAGACTGGTCATTGATTATTTTTCTCTTGCTCATACGAGCCTTCTGCTTTCTCACCCTCATATTGTTCATTCATTCACGCACTCTCGGCTTTGTCCCATGGATAGGCTTTGTTGGGTTTACTAAGCCATTGGAACTTATCTCTCATTGATCGGTTTTATTTCTTTTCTCTCTCTACTCCCCCTCAACTGGAGCATTCAGTAGGATGCCTTTGACGATGTTTGACGCTTGGGATGAACTTTGAAAACTCCCCCTCAAAATCTGCATCCTTGAGAGAATCCTTGCATTGTAAATTGTCTGGCGTCAGGAGGAGAAAAATGACCCCCCCCCCCCCAAATGTTGCAAGTTGTATTGTTTGTTACCCGGGGAGTAAAGTAGAAAACTCCCCCTTCGAATGTGCTTTCTTCATTGTTTGGCACCAGAAGGAGTGACAAAGAAACACTCCCCCTCAGAATAAGCACTTGTTGTTTGTTCTTGGTGTGTGTCGGTTCTGAGGTGTGCATTTGTGATTTTCAGCTCAGTGGAGAGTATTCACGCTAATACTCTCCTAATGTGCACCAGTTGATTGCTCACAGCTGACAGCTCGTCTTCGTACCCTCCATGTGTGTGGAGCAATCGTATCAAGTACCACACATGACGGACCTGCAAGGGTTAAGAAACCTTTGGTACCCATTTCAGGGTGGGTCCATCCCTTTTAGTACAAAACAAATTTTGGAGTTTTTGTTTTATTTTAGTTCATAAACCAGTCTCTTTTGAAGCTTTCGAAGAGCTATATGACTGAGATTCTGATTTAGGAACCCATTTTTGAGTTATTGCAGGTGTATGAGAATTTTCAGCGCAGGTGAATGATGGAACAAATTTTCGAGAAGTGAAAATTTTCTCCCTTGATAACCGTTTCAGGTGTTTGGCTGAATAAACCTTGAGGGAATAAGTCAGGCAAACACCGTCACAAACAGCATAGGTTGTAGCTTCAAATCTTTTCTTTTCCGATTTGCCATCATTCACATTACAATGAGGTTTGATAGCTTTAGCCTTTTGCTTAAGTTTCTCAGGCTTTCTAACCTCAGCACTAGAATGAGAAAACACAGATCCAGAGTCATTAAAAAAAGATTGAGAAGAATGGTGTGTGGCAGAGCTAAACGATTGAGAGCTTGAACTTGAACTTTCTTTAAAAACATTGTTTGAAATAGGTGATGAGGTAGTAGAGGTTGTGTCTGTACTAGGGGACATGTT